ACTTGCCCGGTCCCCCAGCTCACTGGCTATAGAATGTGCCACCGCGCCGCCGGCACTCGGTGGGGTGCCCCTTGTGCCCCTTGGGAGCCCTCCGCGTCGAGTCGTGGGAGTGCTCTCTGCCAGAGGGCAGCGCCCCGGCGGGCGGATATTTCTGGGGGCCGCTCGCGTGGCCCGTGGAGAGCGCTCGCGCGACTCCCGCAGAGACTGAAAGATGACATTTCGGGGCATACATTTCCAGCATGGCCGAAGGCGTTTCCAGGGGCCGTCCTGGAATCCTCTTGGGCGCCTTCTGGGCCCCCTCTGAATCCCCAGAAGCCCGCCCGAGAAGCCGGAATGTGCCAGATTTCATCAATTAGGGGGAAATCTTTGCATGACCGCCTTTTCAATCTTCATTCCGTCCGAGACGGCCCCAAATGTCCCCAACATCACCACGAGACAGCCCAAGAGCCGGCAGGAGGGGTCCAAGGGGCCCCCAAGATGTCCCCACGAAGGGCTCAAGAGGGGGAAGACGTCGAATCCTCCACCCCAAGATGGCCCCAAGAACCCCCAGAGTCCAAGAAGCCACCCGAAGGCCCCCAAGAGGCCCCAAGAGGAAGCCTCCAAGAGGCCGCCAAGAGCCCTCCGAGAGGTCACCGAGAGGCCGAAAGGCATCCCGAGAGACCCTAGTCTGCATCCAAGGAGACTCTGGGCCCACAACCCAGGTACGCAGGCGGGATAGGCTGACCATCACTGGTACTGGCCAGCATGGAGAAGATGGAGAGAGGGGCGTCTCGGGGGGCGGGGTCCACCCACGGTGGGCCGGCTCGACGCGAGAAAGACGCGGCTGCCACTCTGCACCATGCGCTTCACAAGCTTGAGAGCATTGCGCCTCCAGGCCGGCACACCAGAGACGTCCACACGCAGCTGCGGCTGCGCTAGGCTGCGTGCCATGGTGTAGGTGGAGTTGAAGCCGTCGCCCGTGTCTGCGACGAAGTCGAACCACAGTTCCGCCTGCGTGGCGAAGCGGCGATCGACCTGAACGTCCACCGCTTCAGTGCTGCCTGCTTTGTTAGCGAAGCCTGCCGTGTCCCTGAGCATCGCTCGCATGGTGCGGGGGTCGAAACGGCCAAGGAAGAGCTTCAATTGTATGACCAGCGCGATGAGAGCGTAGAGCGCGTGCGTCGCATACCATGGGCACATCTCTGCACCGTCTTCCAACTGCATCCCTACGCCGCCACCCCAAGCCCGCGCGTGCTGACTGATCTCACCGATCTCGGGCAGAGGTGCGGCCGTCTTGAGAACTGGGGGGCTTGACACGCGCTCGATAATCAGGATCCCGTGGCGCAGGAACTGGCTCAAGAAGGTAGACCACAGGCACAGGACGGCGAGGGTCCCAAGCACGGCGCACGGGAAGTGTGCGGGCTGGTCCAGGACGCCGCAGAAGCGCGACCCATGCCCTACGGCGGCGCGGAACGAGCTCTCCAGGCCCTCGATGCTGATGGACAAATTGCGCTGGCCCATGCCGTCCCACACCGAGGAGAGCGCGACGGGCCAAGAGGCAGGCGTGGTCGAGACGCAGTAGCCGTACTGCACGGTGACGCAGGACGAGACCAGCATGATGTTCACCATCAGCGCGCGCAGGCTCCCAGCGAGCGTCCGCTGGAGCGTCGCGCGCAAGACCGCGTCGACGGACAGCAAGAGAGGCACCGAGACAAACACAGCAGGCAAGACAATCTGGATGGCTTCCCGGGGAAGCACAAAACCAGGAGGGTCCGGTGCGTGATAGAGCGCCACCCAGAACATGATGAAGCTTAGGCCTAAGGAGCCCAGGGAGTACACCGCCTCCTTCTCTCCTACGCTGGCGTAGATTGGATTCGCAAACGCGTAGAACAACACGAACAGGCCCAGATGGCACACGTACCACCCCAAGAGGGCGATCGAGTCCACCGCCAAGAATATGTGCAAGTACCGATATGGAATGATCCACTGCAAGATTGCTGTCCAAGACCAAGATAACGACGCGGACTCAGGTTGCCAGAGCCTCGCCCAACACGACCCAATCACCTCACCAAGGAGTTCGTCGGTACGGGTGCCGTTCGACAAATCCTCACCCAATAGATGAAGCGAATTCAAACACACATCATCCATTGTTCGGCTGCTGAATGAGATCGCAAGGCGCCGGGCTGGACCAAAAGATCCTGAGCAAACTTGGGCGAAAGTGGCTACAGATGGTCGTGACGCTGTGTAAGTATGATGATGACGGCATCTTTGCCACGACGATGTTCCCGACATGAGTTGATCGGTTGCGCGGTCGAGCCGAAGAGACTCACCACAGTCGCGCAGCCATGCAGTTATTGTAGCCAACTCACCGAACCTCAACACATCGCACAACGCACCACAACGCCACCACGCCACATCACCTCACACCACAAACCACAAACCACACACCACGGACCCCAAACCTCACCATGGCAAGAAGGGCGCAATACACAAGCCGGGGTTCCTGATGAGGGGGCCTGGGACGGGAAACCACGCCTGCAAACCTGCGTGCCCGCGTGCCTGCGCACCCGCGAACCGCACCCCGACGCGACCGCCGCGCTCATGCGCTCCGAGACAACTCCCTCTCCCGTGGAGGTGGAGAGTCACCGACGAATCTTTCCGTTACGTGACCATGCAAGGCACCCAGAAAGAAGGCTCGACACAAACGTGGGCGGCACACAAATCCGCCCATAATCGCCCTAGGTCCGCCACCATGTGTCGCATCGAGGCCTCCCGGCACGCTTGCTGGAGCTATGCAAGGCGACGAAATCTATACATATCCACTGCTCCCTGGTCGGACGCATCCTGAGCCCAGCAGCGGTGTACGCCACGCCCTCGTGGCTTGGCCAGGAGGGCGTCTACACAGCACTGGGTTCGGGATGGGCCAGGCCAGGGAGCAGTGGATGTGTACGTCTCTCGCCGCCCGACCACGCGGCCCGGCAGGGGAGCCCGCGCCCGGAGCTCCTCCCGCAGACAGCTGCGCGCACTCCTGCCTTTGCGCGCGCTCCTGCGTGCGGTGGCGCGCTCCGGCCGCACTGGTGGCAGCCACTGCGTCGTCTGGGGGATGGCAGTGGCCCTGTCCTCTCATGTGTGCTACGGTGCGGGCAGTGGACGAGGAGCCCTTGTATAGGGCATAGGGGGCCACATACGAACCCTACCCCTACCCCCCACGACTTCTGAGGGGGAGGGGTGGGGGTAGGGTTCGCATGGGACCACCTAAAGAACCCAGGGTCTGGAAGCCGCTGGACACCCAATCGTGGATCGGCCATGGAGCTCGCCGCCGCCCTCGTCAGGTGAGGACTCCTCCAAGGCCTGCGGCATCCTGGGCACTTTCCTTGACCAACGCCCCGACCGGAACGCTCGCATGAGAGCCCCACGCCAACTCCACAGACTCGTGGATGCCACGACGGACACTCTAACAATCCGATCATTGAATTAAAGATGTGTTTAAACAGCGTAAAACATGTTCTAAAACATGTGTCATACATGTTTTTCTTTCGTATACAAATTAAAACCGTAGTTGAAGCATCTTTCAGACATCTGGAAATTATTTAGCAGCATGCTTCCCCTCCGTTAATCGACTTCCACAACCACAGACTTCCTTTGCACTTTGGAATGCCCCTGGAGCTGCCTCTGCCGCCCCCTCTCGGCTTTTCCCCAGGCCGCCGGGGACGCCCCCGGAGGCCTCCGGAGCGGCCCCAAGAAGGCCCCAGGGGCCCCCAACCGAGGGCCTCGAGCTTAGCTGCCCCGATACGCAACACACGCGACACTGACTACCTACCAGACCACCCCAACCCAACCAGAAGACCCGAATTTCGGGTTGGGGGGGGTAAGGGTTCCACTCGTGTTTTTTCGACGTTTCCCGACCCCCCCCCCACTGGAAATCGAGGGTAAATCTGAGCCTTCGGGTTGGGTTGGGGTGGTTTGGTGGGTGGTGAGACAAGTGGCGTACGCTGAGCCAACACGCAACGCGTATCGACACTGACGTTTTGAGCTCGATACGTGTTGCGCATCAGAACCGGCGTATCGAGGCAGCTAGGGCCCCGAGATGGGCTAAAGAGGGCCCTCAAGACGGCCCAAGAGCTCATCTTGGCGGCGCGGCTCGGGAGGAGGGAAGGATGAGGTTGAGCAGCAGGGGAGAAGAGGAGGGGAGGGCAGACAGAACGAACGGAGAAACGCACACGCACGAATTGCGAATGTTGAAAGCGAATGCGCGCAGCGCGAAGGCGAGAGCCACATCTTGAAGCCGTCAAACTCTTGCAACTTCTGAGAAACAATGTGCGCAGCGCTAAGGCAAGAACCATATTTGACCCCCCCTTGATCCTTCAAGCTCTTGTGCATGTTTACTGCGAGTGTGCGCGGCGCTAAGGCGAGAGCCACATTTTGAAAACCACACGTCGTCAATTTGCAACACCTGTTTAAAACGAAAGTGCGCGGCGCTAAGGCGATAACCATACTTTCAAAACCATCCCCCCTCAATCCGTCAAGCTCTTGCAAGTGTTTACTGCGAGTGAATGCGGCGCTGAAAACGAGAACCACATGTTGAAAACGACCCGCCCTCAATCCATGGAGCGCTTGCAAAGTCTTGTACTGTCAGGGCCACATGTTGAAAAGGAATCGCCCTCTATCGATGACATGCTTGCACATGTTTAACACGAATGTGCGCGGCCCTGCTGCGAGAACCACATGTTGAAACCGGCCCGCCCTCAATCCATGAAGGTCTTGAGTTTTGTCCCACGAATGTGCGCGGCGCTCAGGCGACAGCCACATGTTAAAAAGCAACCGCCATCCATCTGTGAAGCTGCTGCCACTTTCTACGCGTTGGGATTATCTATGGTGAGGAGCTCTCAGGCGAGACGCCCGGCCCGCCTTTTCGACTGGCCTCGGGGTGCGACAGGGAGGAGTCACCTACAACGCAAAAGAATGGAGGAGGAGGAAGAGGAGGAGGACGAGAAGGAGGAGGAGGAGGAGGAGGAGGGCACCCGATTGGTCACTTCGTACTTCTTGTCAACACCGCTGATGAAGTTCAGGGTCTAGCGGCGCCGAATGAAGCAGAGCTGCAGAGGAAGAGGAGGCCAGAGAAGGAAAGAGAGGGAGAGATACACTCAGAAAGAGGGAGAGAGGGATGAAGAGAGGGAAATAGTGAGAGAGAGAGAGAGACACACACATAGAGACAGACAGGGACAGAGAGAGAGAAGGAGAGAGAGACGGAGAGACGGAGAGAGATCGAAAACAAGAGTGCGGGCGGGAGGAAGAGGCGAAGAGACAAATCCTTCCCTATTCTGAAAAAGGATACTTGCGTGAACGTGGCCGAAGTGCCTGGATCGTGAAGTCTGCGGCAGCCCTGAAACAACATCACCGTGCAGGGTCGGTCCCGGAGAGGCCCTCCACGACACGGGCAGGTAAGTACCATGCGGGAGCGGCCCAAAAATGGCTGGCGGACAGTCCTGTGAGGACCCCGGGCGAGATCCAACATCAGAGCTGGCGGCAAACGCAACTCAACCGGCCTGGTTGCACTCACGGTGACCTCAAGGCCCAGACCCCCGACGTAATGAATTTTTCGTTACGTCGACCCCAGAGTTCTCGACCCCTTCCCCAGGACCGGTTTGTCATCCTGAGTCGTTTTTTGACGCTCCCGAGGCCCGGTGAGGGCCCCCAGAGGCCGAAAATGGCGAAAAACCTCCCGTCATGATTTTTTCATTGCTCGAGGGGGTCTGGGATCGAACCAGAGCTGCACCCCCAGCGCCGTCCGGTGGCCTCTGCTCGGGTGCGGCACGGGGCGCCCCGGGGGGCCCCAGGTGCCCCCAGGACTACAGAAGCGGAGCAGGCGCCATCCAGAGCGCCCCCTCACGAGGCCCAGAGGGCCCCAGGAGCTCCACGCTCCTGCTCTCCTCCTCCTCCTCCTCCTCCTCCTCCTCCTCCTCTGATTCGTCCTCCTCCTCCTCATCCTCCTCCTCCTCCTCCACCTCCTCCTCCTCCTCCTCCTCCTCCTCCCCCTCTTCCTCTGGGCCTGGACCGGTCCTGGCAGCACCCGACCTGCCGGGCATGCGCGCGCCTCTTCCCTTCCTGCCTGCCGGGGGCGAGGGGTGCAGTGCGGGGCCGACCGCTCCGCGACGCCACCTCGAGGGGGGGGGGACCTCTTGGGCCCCTGTCCCAGACCCCCGACGTCGCGACTTTTTCCCAACGTCGACCCCCAGAGGTCTGGACCCCTTCCCCAGGACCGGTTTTTCGTCCTGGGTCGTTTTTTGACGGCCCCGAGGCCCGGGAAGGGCCCCCAGAGGCCGAAGATGGCGAAAAACCTCCCGTCATGATTTTTTCAGTGCTCGAGGGGGTCTGCGCCTCGAGGGGGGGGGCGCCCCGGGGGGCCCCTGTCGCAGCTGAGGTCGCCCGACTTCGCGCGCGGCGGGCCTTGCGCCCCCTCGCGCCGTCCCCTCTGGGCCAGGGCAGCCGCTCGGGCCCGGAGCGCCACGCGCGAAGCGCGGTCGTCTTCGTGCCCCCCCCCCCCCCCGCGGGGGGCCCTGGCGTGACGGTGCGAGGGGGGGTAGGAGGGGGGGAGGAGGAGGAGGAGGAGGGGGGGGGAGGGGAAGGGGGAAGGAGGAAGGAGGAGGAGGAGGAGGAGGGGAGGAGGAGGCGGGGCGGAGGCGGAGGCGGAGGAGGAGGAGGTAGGAGGAGGATTGGCAGGAGGAAGTGGGAGGAGGTGGAGGAGGAGGAGGAGAGGAGGAGGAGAGGGAGGGTAGAGGAGGAGAAGGAGGAGGAGGAGGAGGGGGAGGGGCGGGATGAGGAGGCGGAGGAGAGGAGGAGGAGGAGGAGGAGGAGGCGGTGGGGAGGAAGGAGAGGAGGAGGAGGAGGAGTGGGAGGAGGGTGGTTGGAGGAGGAGGAGGAGAGGAGGAGGAGGAGGAGAGGAGGTAAGTGAGGAGGGCCGGCGGGACGTGCATCGTCGCGCTGGTTTTTTTTCCCCCACCTCGAGGGGTGAAGGTGGCGGCTCGGCCACTCCTCCGCCCTCTCTCGACGGGTCTGCTGGCCCCGCCCCCCGCCCGCCGTGCAGGCAGAGAGCGATGGGCGCGGCCACTCGTCCACGGTCCACTGGCAGGGAGGAGGGTTCTGCACCCGCAGTTCCTGCAACATGAGAGCGCGGAGGCGCGCACGCGTGGCCAGCACTGTATCATACGGCAGACTTGGCGGGCCCATGGTCGTTCTTCAACCTGTTCTGCATCCACGCCAGCGGCCCTCATTGCCTTATCTGACAGAGTGACAAAATCCTGCAGCGCTACTCTGATTTCAGTGAGCGCGCGTTCCCAGGAATCTGGCGACTTGGTCATGAAAGATCAATTGGGAGTGTATCTAATTATCTTTAAAACTTTTGATGACCCATGATCGTATCATGATTTTGTCATGTGCGCGCGCGTGAAGCCCAGCATGTTTTTTTTTCGATGCGGATGATCACACAAAGCACAGGTGAACGCGTCCCCCGCATGGTTTCCA